ACAGAAAAAGTGTATCTGCCATCTTGATCTAATTTTAAAACAAAGTTGTGTTGTTTTTTTTGTGGGAGACATTTTGTCCACATTTAAGACTAAGCTTAAAACATCCCTTTCGGATTGATCCTACAGTTTGGTTGCTTTTATTGAGCTATGTCGTTACCTACGTTGCTATATTAGGATGCTGGAGGGCATAAAGAAAAATTACCTCTTGTCCTAAATTCTACTGCCAGTGCCAAATGTTGTGTTATTTGTTTTATTTCAGCTTTTGCCTATGTATTTTCACTCTGTTTTCTATTCACAGGTCATATCTTCACACCCTGTCCTGGAGGGGGCATCGGCGATTTCATGTTTTCCTTGAGGAGATGATACACTTTGCCCTGTCTTTCATGTTAACTCTGTCTTCCTCATAGATATAGTTATTGGCTGACTCACTTAAATATTTTTTTTGTGTGTGTTTCATGTTAATTCAACCAAGTTGGCCATGCTAGAAGGCTGCACACAGTGAGCCAACTTCTCATGGGGGTTTCTTTCTGTTAAAGGGTTTTCCTTTCCACTGTTGCTGCATGCATGCATGCTCTGTGAGAGGGCTTTCTGCCAAGTCAACAATGAATAAAAGTGGCAGTCCACTGCTGTTACATGCTTATCCAGAAAAAAGTATGTTCTGCGTGTCAGTGACTTGATGCAATCAGCTGAATTTCTTTAGATAGAACATTTTCTGAACTTATCTGTTTGATCCGGCATCCATTTAAAAATTCTTTGCAAGTTACTTGAATATATCAATAACACTTTTTTTGGAAGGCGTGTGCATAACACATTAAACTGTGATAAACATGATCTAAAACCTGTTATGAACATGAAGGAGTCTTTCTAAATGTTTATGTCTGTTGTAACTGAATGACATTTGACAATTTATATCAAATGTATATCACTTTTAATGCAAATTTGACATTGACAACATAGGGAAAATAATTTCAATTTAAATGTTCGAATTACAATCAAGGTTGAGACTCATCACCTATATAGTGGAGTGTAATATCAACACATGCATTTAAAAAACTTTTTAAATATTTATAATTAGACCTGTGATTTCAATCAGACCCTGATTTCTTTCTTAATTCCAGTTATCATTACAAAGACATTTCAATCTCTGTTATGGCAAGTTGTCATAATATTTTAAACAATGTCTAGTTTGCATTAATTACAAAATTACAAATACATATATAATATAACAGTCTTAAAAATTCAAGACTCCTTTGATGATTACAGTTGTTACTTGATGATCATGACAGTGTAATGTCAGTCCTATGCACACCTCAAATAAAGTGTTACCAGTGTTGTATGTAAAGGTAGAAATAGAGCAAATATAGAGCTAAAATTTAGAGGATCAAATATATAAGCTATTTTTTTTTTCTTGTCTAACCAGTCAAGAGTCCTGAAATCACCAAAATTTATTGAAAGGAACAGCATTTATTTTAAACATTAGGAAGTTAAAACTATTATTTAAGCCTTTTCCCCTCTATGTTAATACATAACAAACTTATTTAATTGTATTTTATGTGGACTACATAGTTTAAAACATGACAGTCATAATTCAAAAAAAATTTAACAGAGCAAGTGGGAAAATATGCTAATAATGCTGTTTTCTATTTTCATGGACTTTCAACCTGGAAAAGAGAATGCACCTGAGTTGACTCGGTCCTAGTTGCAAATCACATAAGCAGCAGTATTTGATAATCATTCTGGATAGAGACAAAGCCAACAACTCAAAGCAATACCAGACAATATTGTATTCCTCTCCAATTTTCAAACTCTAAACAAACAAATTAATAAATAGTTGTTCCACATTCCTTTGGAAAATGCTGGAATAATAATAATAATAAAAAAAAAAGTCCTGCAAAGTTTTCAAGCTTTTCTCCATTAAGGACATTTTTATTTTGAAGTTCATTATTCAAATTCACAATCTTTTGGAGGTTTATCATATTTGTGTATTAACAATAATAAAGTTACCCAAACTGTTTTTTCATAACTTAGCTTTTTTCTGGATATTGAGATTGAAAAAATGTGATTAGGTAAATAACATAATAACCAGTCTCTTAGATCATAACTCTCTCTCTCTCTAGAATCGGTCTCTATGTGCATGTGTAGTTTGCAGTGATCATGTACTTTCATAAACAGAGGCGATTTCTTTTTCCTACAATAATAGTGTGGGATTTGTTTACTCAGACTAATTTCATTAGATATAATTCAATTGTAGACATTAAGTAACAGTATGCATCTATGAGTTTCATGGTATTTAATGGGCTGTGAAGGGATGACATACTGCTCTGCACTTAAATGTTTTGTAACCATGTATGAGTGTAATTTTCACAGTGGGACATTATTAATAGATTAAAATTAACCAAATGTGGTAAAGAAAATGGTGGAGTCGTTAGCATTTTTATGCTAATTTAATTAATTTAATTAATAAGTGATTGTTTGTTGTTAACTCTGAATGATCTCCAGTTGCAAAGTTGGGATTACAACTAGAGGTGCATGCAAGATTTAAGGCTGCTGCTACAGGTGCTGGTCATAAAATTAGAATATCATGAAAAAGTAGATTGATTTCAGTAATTCCATTTAAAAAGTGAAACTTGTATATTATATTCATACATTACATACAAACTCATATATTTCAGATGTTTATTTTGTTTAATTTTGATGATTACAAATGACAACAAATGAAAATCTCAAATTCATCATATCAGAAAATTAGAATATTGTGAAAAGGTTCAAAATTGATGGCCCCTGGTGCCACACTCTAATCAGCTAATTAACTCAAACCACCTGCAAAAGCCTTTAAATGGTCTTTCAGTCTAGTTCTATAGGCTACACAATCATGGGGAAGACTGCTGACTTGACAGTTGTCCAAAAGACGACCATCGACACCTTGCACAAGGAGGGCAAGACACAAAAGGTCATCGCTAAAGAGCCTGGCTGTTCACAGAGCTCAGTGTCCAAGCACATTAATAGAGAGGCGAAGGGAAGGAAAAGATGTGGTCGAAAAAAGTGTACAAGCAAGAGAGATAACCGCACCCTGGAGAGGATTGTGAAACAAAACCCATTCAAAAATGTGGGGGAGATTCACAAAGAGTGGACTGCAGCTGGAGTGAGTGCTTCAAGAACCACCACACACAGACGTATGAAAGACATGGGTTTCTGCTGTCGCATTCTTTGTGTCAAGCCACTCTTGAACCACAGACAGCGTCAGAAGCGTCTTGCCTGGGCTAAAGAGAAACGGGACTGGACTGCTGGTGAGTGGTCCAAAGTCATGTTCTCTGATGAAAGTAAATTTTGCATTTCCTTTGGAAATCAAGGTCCCAGAGTCTGGAGGAAAAGAAGAGAGGCACTTCATCCACGTTGCTTGAAGTCCAGTGTAAAGTTTCCACAGTCAGTGATGGTTTGGGGTGCCATGTCATCTGCTGGTGTTGGTCCATTGTGTTTTCTGAGGTCCAGGGTCAACGCAGCCACATACCAGGAAGTTTTAGAGCACTTCATGCTTCCTGCAGCTGACCAACTTTTTGGAGATGCAGATTTCATTTTCCAACAGGACTTGGCACCTGCACACAGTGCCAAAGCTACCAGTACCTGGTTGAAGGACCATGGTATCCCTGTTCTTAATTGGCCAGCAAACTCTCCTGACCTTAACCCCATAGAAAATCTATGGGGTATTGTGAAGAAGAAGATGCAATACACCAGACCCAACAATTCAGAAGAGCTAAAAGCCACTATTAGAGCAACCTGGGCTATCATAACACCTGAGCAGTGCCACAGACTGATCGACTCCATGCCACGCCGCATTGCTGCAGTAATACAGGCCAAAGGAGGCCCAACTAAATACTGAGTGCTGTACATGCTCATACTTTTCATGTTCATACTTTTCAGTTGGCCAACATTTCTATAAATCCTTTGTTTTTATTGGTCTTCAGTAATATTCTAATTTTCTGATATGATGAATTTGAGATTTTCATTTGTTGTCATTTGTAATCATCAAAATTAAACAAAATAAACATCTGAAACATATGAGTTTGTATGTAATGTATGAATATAATATACAAGTTTCACTTTTTAAATGGAATTACTGAAATCAATCTACTTTTTCATGATATTCTAATTTTATGACCAGCACCTGTATACTTTAGTGTTGAGGTGGGGTTCTATGATTTTTGGGTAAGATTAAAAAACACAAACTTAAATTTGGACTTGGGGATTTTGACTAAATGTTAGTCCTTTATACAGGCTACTGAGGAAATACAACCCAATTTATTAATTGTTTTGAATTCTTTTCATTCCTTGTTTGTGATTAAACAAACAATTCATTAACCAAGCTATGGTTTCTCCTAATCTCCTCTGCAGGTGTAGCTCATACATAATCATGAGTACAACCAGTTATGGCTACATATATAATCCTGAGTTAGGCTAACTCTAAAGGCAAGATCCTGAAAAAAGGTCAATTCTTGTTAAAAAAAAAAACAATGCATATTAACAGCACATAAAACCTTCAATTGCAAAACTGCAAAAACCTCTTATTTACTGCTTTAACAGTTTTCTTTTTTTATTTTGCTAAGTTGTGCCTGGTCACTTGACAGTTTGTAATAAAGGGTAGCAAATGGCCAGTTTTGCTTATTAGCTCATAACTTTGTTTTTTAGTTGAAAAAAGTACAGTAGTTTATGAAGAACATGTGATGTAACTGTGTAGAAAATAAAAAAACACGCACACAGAGATAACTGTTAGAAGTCTGTGGGGGGCACAGATGGTGATCTATCAAAACTGACTCACAGTTTGAGCGGATGGATGGCTTATTGGCATCGTCCTATTTGTGGCGATCTGTAGATAGTAAAGAGATTGCAATAAGGTATAGGTAAAGAACGAAAACTGCAGAGGGGGGAAATCAAGATAACCTATCTCACAGTCAAAGTCTTTGATTCTATGCAATGCCCTTGAAGCTTGTTTGAGTTTTTAGAGCTTTTTTTTAGCGATCAGCATTCATTTTACGCAGTTTTGGGGGTAGATTGTCTTCTGGCCGATTCCCCACCAAAGAGAATTGGACTGGTGCTGGTGTTGCAATGGTGTTAATTGCTGCTGGCTGTCTGTGTTTCACCAAATCCCCTTCCTCAGCATCAAGGTCGAGGGACAGGAGTTTAACTTGCTCCTCAGGCTGTCCTTGCTTCACTGCTGGGATAGAACTGGACCTAAACCGCTGGATACTGAGCGAAAGGTCTCCTGTGCTGGAGGCTTTACCCCCGGGCAAAGCTGTCCCTGTCTTTAGCGCCCTCCACAGGTGCTCCTCTTTGGTGGAGCTCATCCGCTGAAGTTTGCTGGGCAGCCTAGAGGCCTGGCCCTCAGGGTGCTCTGCATGGTCGGCTGACAGGAGCCTTTCCCGGCGAACTACTCTGTTGCCCAGCACTGGGGAGGGAAGAGTGGGAGCCAACGGTATAGGATTCGGTGATGACAGAGAGGATTTCTCCTCCTGTTCTTTGACACTGTAGGGAGGAGTGGGAACCTCAAAGGTGTTGTGGAATTGAGAGTAGTCCACTCTGAAGAATCCTTCTTCAAGCGACATGACAGGGAGAAAGCGATGGCCCCAAAGGACTTCATCCTCAGTGTAAGATGTTCTCGCCTGGCAAGTCATTCCTAACAAGAAAGGTCAGAAATCAGAGAATTGTCTGAAAAGCAAAGAGGAGAAGAGAAAAAAAACAGCAAAAAAGGAAGGGGGAAATGAATAGAGAAGGATTCCCTCAGGGCCAAGGGAGAAAGGGACATGAAAAATAAATCTATGGTTAATAAAATCTTGTGCTACTAAATAATTAAAACCTTGAAATTAAATCACTAATCGGTGATAAAAACAAAAGATTTGGAACCATAAGTGCTTATCAAAACATTACAGCTAAAAAGACAGAAATGAGAGTGTAAGATTTTGCTCTCACCTGTAGTTTCCACAATGCCCTCCAGAATAACTACTATCTCAAATTGCTCGTTCATGAGCGAGCGCTGGGAGAGATCAAAGAAAGGGCTCTTGGTGTTGATCTCATGACAGATGGTAAGAGGTGACACCAGGAAAAGTTGATCGGCCCCCGTGCCAAATCCTACGTCCAGCTCACACTGATCCAGGGGCAGGAACTCTCCTTCCGGGGTCTGTCTAGACTGGAAGCACAAAAGGTTTACATTTTTGAGAGTTGATTGACACTTTAGTTTGCCACAAATCACATAGTGCCAGACATTTACAAACAGTCACATGCCACCTCCAGGACAGTTATTACTAAATTTGGTATATTAATGCTTTATAGGAAAATCGGTCAACGTTTGAATGCTGTGTTGTGATGAGGAGGGAGCTATGCCAGAAAGTAAAGCTCTTGTTTTACTTGTGATTTTCATTCCTAATCTCATCTATTGTCATGAAATCGAGATCATGACTGCAAGAACAAAATCAAGGATACAAGCAGCAGAAATGAGCTTTCTTTGGAGGATGGCCGGACACTCCATTAAAGATAGGGTGAAGAGCTCTGCTATGGGGAGAGGAGAGTCTGGGTGGAATCTTAGCAAACCTGTCCTGGAAAAGCAGATGATAGGTACGAAGAATATATGTACCAATATGAGTACGAGTATCAATGGTTTGCATTGTTTGGTTTGGATGTGCTCTCTTCGTCCTCTGGCATGGGAGCTGCCTTGGAGCTCGTCTGCCTGGCTGTGTGTTTCCTGGACGGGGCCGCCTTTTACAGCTGCTTTTTGTATCTCTGCTTCTGTCTCCTTGAACCCCAGTCGGCCTCGGCAGATGGCCGCTCACACTGAGCCTGGTTCTGCTGGAGGTTTCTTCCTGTTAAAAGGGAGTTTTTCCTCTCCACTGTCGCTACAAGCATGCTTAGTGTGGGGGATTGTATTTGAGTCAATGAGTCAATGCAATCAACTGGTTTTCCTTAGATAGAAAACTTTGTATCAATTTGACTGTATGATCTGGTTGAACTGTAAAGTGCCTTGAGATGACATGTGTTGTGAATTTGGCGCTATATAAATAAACTGAATTGAAATTGAATTGAATCAAGTTGTAGTGGCCTGAGTGGTTAAAAATTCACGATTTTTTTGTGTGTTTTTTTTTTTCTTGAAATCTTACAGCCTAACCCTTGCCTCAATTTGGATTTGATTCATTGTGCTTTTGAACACCGTGTGATGTGCACAAAGGGGATGGGTTAAATGCAGAGAGTTAATTTCTCCTTTTTGAGATCAATAAAATTAAATCAATTAATTTATTATTTATCTGACCAAAACTGTCGTCCTCTGAAACAAAAATCACGTTCCACTAATATGATATGAGACTATTAAAGGGATACAGTTAACAATCAATCATTAATAAGGAATGATGCATGACAACCAAGACTTACTGAAGACTTTGTAATAATCCCTTCAGTCCATGAGGAAAAATGTTTTATTGCCACAATATGGTCTAATATTGATATTTAATCCTATTTTATTTGGCCTATTCTTTTACATTGACTTGTAACCAGGTCACATATATATATATATATATATATATATATATATATATATATATATATATATATATATATATATATATATATATATATATATATATATATATATATATATATATATATATATATATATATCAAGTTTTATTTAACCAAAAAGTAAAATGGTCAACAATCCTCAAGCTTTATGTGGAACACTCAACATTAAAACAACTGGATTTAAATGCATTTTCATGACATTTCAGGCAAACATTGCATAAGCACTTTAACATTAATTCATGGAATTATAAATAATTATATTTATAATAATTATTTAATAAATGAGCTTCCATTTATTAAATTCTTTAGAGAATTGAATGTCTCATGAAAGCAACATAAGAATGTGACGTTCTCTACCATAGTTATGGTAGTTGCTATTCCTGCTTCTATCACTCTGTCCGTGATCTGCAATGACCTTCCTTGTACTTCATATAGAAAACACCTTTTATAGAAGGGTTCTGGATTTATATGCATTTTGATAGCATTTCTAGCAAGAGTATGCATAATATTCTCATCCTCATTTGTGGAATGTGGACAATCCTTAATTATTTAAGCATTTCCTTTATAAAAATGTGAAAATCTCACATTCCATACAGTTATTAAGGGTTTTGGTTTAGACAATTCTATCTTTCTTTTTTCACAATACTTTCATGGGAAATAGTGAGGAATACAAAACAACAGTCTGTTCAAAAGTCTTCCCAAACATTAATCAAGTCGCAATCATATTACAAGCAAACTGTGAATATTTACACATAAGAGCTTTTCAAGGAGAAGCATCTTCTTTGTTGTTCTGTTAAACACAACGTTAAATTCAAATCAAAGCTGATGATAAAAAAAATATAATGTGTAATATCTTCTAGCAAATGAGTATCTGTATTACATAGTTTTGAGGCACATTACATGATAATTAAGAACCACAAGGTGGTCAAGTGTTCTTTTTGCCTAAAAATATTTCATTAATCTGTAATGCATGCCCGCTTAGTTGGGAAGTCTTAACATTACTCAATCCCTGACGTTAAGCAATCTAACAAGGTCATATGAAGTATAGTGTGATGTCAGAATAAATACGAAATACAGGAAAAATGTTAATTGTACACAATTTCAAAATGTCTCTGCAGAGGTGCTGATATTTACACAAGAGGTGAGTAAATATTTTGTACAGGGTTGCTAGATCTGCCTGGCTATTAAAGGAATAGTACACCCAAAACATGATTAGCCTTCAGTTTCTACTCATCCCCATGCTGAACAACACTCTGGAGTACTTTTTTGATATCTCAAATGCATCTGGAGATCTGGGAGGCTTCTTGCTGTCTGTTGACATTCAAATGATGGAGGTCTACGGTGCCCGAGACAGAAAAGTCCATAAAAGTCCACAAAAAACGTGTCAATATCCCTCCATACTGCTCGTCCCATGTATTCCAAGTGTCCTGAGTGTGTAGCATCCAGAATTTACTCGAAACGAAGTCATTTAGAATGTTTTTAGAGCATAAACAGTAGTGTATAGGATTTCCTGAAAGCGCGCGCCCGCACGTTCACGACGCTACGGAAGCCGGCAGACCAAACCAGATGAAAGTGCGCATTGAATATCTTTTAAAACACTTGTGTGTTATGGATGGTGGTAATAACAAGAAACCTTTATATGGGCATATTTTTACTCCCCCTAAAAACTGAACAGCTCTTGTGAATACTTTGATACCAGACAACAGATGAATGAGCTTTCCCAAGATTCAAGGCACTAACTCAGGTTTCTCTGTTTTAAAACGGTATGGGGACAGCTATTCAGACTACAAGGCCACTCTTAGAGAAAGACAATGTCTGTAAACAACAGCACTTTGGCAGACAGCTTTCATTAAAAGCTATTTCCTTCTGATTTGCTGTATGCCTGTATTTTATTCTATTTATTTGTATCTTTGCCTTAACTGGCAGGTGAGGATGGAAGTGTTAAAGGCTGCATGAAATTGCTATGAAAAGGTAATTTCCCTTTGCATTTAGAGACAGAGATGAGGTGTGGAGAGAGTTGTTTTTTTGTTCAGTAACAGATGGCGTGACTCCAAGAAATGTGAAGGCACTGTAGCTGTTTATGATTTTTATTTCAGCATGCCACTCTTACTAGGGAACAGAATGAAAATAAAGAAAAGCTTTTTCTATGCACTCATTAGACTTTAATAGACCTGTAGCTTATATACATTGAGAATCAAAAATGTATTCAGGCAAGTCAACATAAATCTTTTTTTTTATGACAAAAAATTTACAGGTTTTACGATGCAAGTTTGATAATTCATTCAGAGATAGCAGCATTGAGTGTGAATGAAGGTGTAATAACAATGGTCTTCCAGGTCTCTCACCTTTATCTGAAACTGATGTTGAATATATCCTGTTTTGTTTTTTTAGTACATATCTTTATTACCCAGACTTTAGACTATATTAAATACCTATGTTTAGACTTTAGAGACAATATCATTATTTGTGATTAAGACATACGTACTACATCATAGACATGATAGGACTAACACACTCTTTTTGCTGCTAAAGCCTTGAACACACTGAACATGATTCCCAGAAAATTGTGATGTCAGAGGTCGTAGTGCTTAGTGCTTGACATTGAATGGGGATGAGCCCACCCCACATTACTATTTTTGCATGGGGGCTTGCATACTTTTGACAGAGACAGAACTTTTCTGTTTTAGTCAGACTATGCAACAATTCAGCAGAAATTTAATGGGTCTTACTTGAAGTGAAATGCTGTTACAAAGTTAAAAAGATCCGCTTTGTGGGAAATACAAAATAAAGTCTCTAAATTGAGGAAAAACAGTTACCAGTAGGTTTGCCCTGTTTTGAATCACAAAGAGCGCAGACAGGGCAAACTAAGACTTACAAAATAAATAAAACATTTCAATAAAAGAATACCTTATCCATAATAGGAATTCAGAAGGGCAGAAAAAAGATATAGAAAAATAAAGGTCTTCTTTGTGCCTCAAAAAAAAAAAAAAAAAAAAAAAAAAAAAAAAAAAAAAAAAAAAAAAAAAACAAGGGACATCAATCTCCCCTCTTTATAAAAAAAATCTTTGTCAAACTTCACAGATCGCTCTCTGAGAATCACCTCTCCCTGACTCAACCAGTAAACTGTCCCAGAGCCTTTGTTGCTTCCTTTTCTTTCCTCTAGTTATATTTTTATATATTAAATTCCTCTTTCTGTTCTTGTTTAAGAGCTTGCTGATAATAAAGTGGGATTTTGCTTTGTAGCCACACCGGCTGTTTTTTTTATTTTTATTTTGTTTAACTTTTCATAATCTAACCCAGTTAAATGCAGGACAGTTTTTTATTTCTAGGGTACAAATAATATATATACAGATGTGTTTTCAAGATTTACCTCCCATTAAAGGAAATTATATGGATATATTGATTTTGAAGTTTTATTTAAAAAAAACTTCACAGATCTGGATCTGCTCAGCGTGCCTTGAAGGAGCCTCTCTATATGCACTGCAGTCAGCATAACATTGGAAGCAAATTGTATAGGAGATAAGAAAGTCATACGCAACCGGTGTGACTTGGGCTTAAGCCTTTAATTTACAAGCATGTATGCATAGAATAGAAAATCCATTTATTGTCCGACAATAAGGT